GGTGCTGAGGATCGAACCCGGGGCGCACACATGCCAGGCGAGCACGCTACCGCTTGAGCCACATCCCCAGCCCGAAACCATCTTTTTTTTAAAATAACATCTCCCTAATTCGGAAACGAATATTTAAAATTTTATTATTTTTTACATTTTTATTTATTTATTTTGGAACTGGGGATGGAACCCAGGGGCACTTTACCACGGAACTACATCCTTAGTCCTTTTAATTTATTTTGAAACAGGGTCTCTCTGAGTTGCTTATCCCCTCGATTTTGCGGAAGCTGGTTTTGAACTCACGATCCTCCTGCCTCAGCCTCCCGGAGACGCTGAGATGACAGGCGTGGGCCACCGTGCTCGATTTGTTTCTTTAAGCGTTAGGATCTCACTGTGTTACCCAGGCTGGTCTCAAATACTGGGCTGAAGTGATCCTGCCTCAGCCTCCCAGGAAGCTGGGATTAATAGAGGTGCATCACTATACACAGGTAATGAATATTTTTACAATATAGTGAATGATATATTTTAGTTTTTTATTAAAGTAACATGATCCTGTTGTGGAGGTTTTGGGAAACAGTTATAAGAATAAAACAATGAGAGCTGGGGACATAGCTCAGTTGGTAGAGTATTTGCCTGGCACACACAAGGCCCTGGGTTCAATCCCCAGCACCACACACACACACACACACACACACATACACACACACACACACAATCAAGCAATGAAACTCAGGGTTCAAGGTTGGGCTCAAAGTTGTGCTTAGCATGTAAAAGTTCTCAAACCCTTCCCATCCACGCCCATCGCTGTCAGCAGGTGTAAGATTCCTTTCTTACTGCAGGCCCGAGAGGACCCCCAGCCATGAAATCGCTTCCCCTTTTCTCTCAAGTGCCTGGCACAGGCAGGGGCTCCAGACACAGAGACAGAATTCCAGAACCGTGAAATACAGGGGCTCGGCTAGCAGCACGTTTTCTTGATTCTTCTGGACTCTTCTGGAAAACTCAGGATTCTTTGATTCACAGTCCCAACATCCCAGAACTGGAGGAGACTGAGATGCAGCCCCTGTCGCAGAAGAACTTGGTTTGGCAATCCTGGGAGTCCCCAAGCTTCCAAAGCCTTGGAGAAGGAAGCTGAGGCTTCCTTTGGCGGAACATCCGTTCACTCACTATCAGCAAGTACCCGTTGAAACCGAGCACAGTCAGCATCGTGCCCAGCGGATGAGGGGCCATTTTCTTTGGAAAGAAGATGTTGGGGTAGAGAGGGCATGAACTTGGAATTGGGGGCCTCTGGTTCTCTGCCCCCTCCTGGAGGCATGCCCCTGACCCATGTTACCTGGTCTGAGCATCCAGCTCTTCGTTTATAAAACAGGCCCAACGTCGGCTATAAAGATGAACTCAGTCATTCATATACGGTTGGCCTTCCACGTCTGAGGGGTCCCCAACCAAGGACATGACCTACCTCTCGGATTGGAAATATTTTTGGGGAAAAAATTTCATCTGTAGTGAAAATGTGCAGATCTTTTTGCCATTATCCCCTAAACATGACAGTTTAACAATTCACACAGCATGGATAGTGCATTAGGTGTGGGGAGAAACCCAGACATGATTTCAACTCCAGGGGAGGATGCAGGTAGGTTCTCTGCAAATACAACACCACTTCACACAAGGACCTTGGGAATCCCTCAGTGACAGCTGTTTGCAAAACTATTGCCACTAGTGGAGATATAGTTCTTCTCACCATCCTCCGTTCCTTCCTCTTTCACCAGGACCCACAATAGCGATCATTCAGCATGGACAGGGTGCCATACAGAGTGGGCCTTGCATCTCCCAATTATTAGTTAATTCTCAAATTACTGGTCCCAGGAGGCAGGTAGCATTGTTCTCGCCCCATTTTGCGGGGGAGGTACTGGGGATTGAACTCAGGGGCACTCGACCCCTGAGCCACATCCCCAGCCCTATTTTGTATTTTATTTAGAGACAGAGTCTCCCTGAGTGGCTTAGGGCCTCGCTTTTGCTGAGGCTGGCTTTGAACTCTTGATCCTCCCTGCCTCAGCCTCCTGAGCCGCTGGGATGACAGGACTGTTCCACCGTGCCCGGCTCTCACCACATTTTGATATCCCATGTCAAGAACCAGAGGGAGCTGCTCACTCCAATGCAACACTGTAGGGAGAATCTTTTTGGCTTTTTTTGGGTGGTGCTGGGGATGGACACCGCACCTTGCACATGCTACATACCCACTCTACCACTGAGCTACATCCCCAGCTCGGAGAACTGGACTCTTAGTGTCAGATGCCAGCACATCCTTTCCCAGATTGAGAGGCTGCTAATGTGTGTGTTGATCTTTTATTTGCTGGAACAGTTTACAAAAAAAAAAAAAAAAAAAAGGAATTTGAAGTTGGAACTGGACCCTTGACAAGTACACTTCAGGATGCACGAGCAGTTTCCCTTTAAAGGCAAAGCATGGTGAATAGGATTTGGGAGCAGGAGACCCGCTGTGTGTGGCCCCAACAGCCTCTGGAGCATGCAGTGGGTCTGATTTTTTCGGGGCTCGAGGCTTCAGCTCTAACCCCTCTGCTCTATTGCTGGGACCTAAAGCGGGGACAGGATGCATCTTCTGTTTGCTTATTTCTACTCCTGGGCCGGGAGACTCCGCTCTAGAGAAGGTTCCAGATGGAAGTCAGTAGTATCTATCTGGTTTATCACTCTCTGGATGTAACCAAAGGCTAATTCGTTGTTCTCTGTAGGCCAGTTTCCATAAACTGAGGAAGAGGCTGTGTGGAGGATTCAGAGGGATTCCTCACTGTCAGGCACATGGAAGATGCATAAGTGCAGCTGATTCTGCATTTGGGGATTCAAAAGCCATTAGAAAATATCAGGGGGAAAAAAACACCCTGCATCACTGTAAGCAGAAGTCCTCTGTGAAGCCGCCCACGCCCGTCATCCCAGCGGCTCGGGAGGCTGAGGCAGGAGGGTCGCAAGTTCAAAGCCAGCCTCAGCAACTTAGTGAGGCAGTAAGCAACTGAGACCCTGTGTTTAAATAAAATACAAAACAGGGAACAGGGCTGGGTTTAATCCCTGGTAACGCCCCCCCCCCCAAGAAAACACCTAAATCTGCATGACTATACAGAGACTTCTTGTCACCATTCCCTAAGCAATAAACAATTATATACATGGCATTTACATTGTATTCAATGTCATAAGCAATTTGGAGATGATTTAAAGTGTGTGTGGGGGGGTGTACAAAGACTATTTGCTAATACTAGCCCGTCTTACTTAGGGAATTGACATCTGTGAATTGTGCTCTCCATGGGGAGAAGGTTCGGGACCGTGTCCTTTTGGTTCTTTTGGCTTTAGGGTGCAGGGACGAGTGGCGTTTCTGGGCAGGGATCACTCTGCGCGCCCTGGGTGGACATCTCTTTGGAAAGGGGCTTCCTGAAAACTTCAGGGCTCCTTCCGGGAGCCCTCTCTGCCTTCTGGAAGGTTTTCCAAGCATCTTGCCCCAGGGGCTTCCCCAGACTTAAACAGGCATGTGGACTCTCCCCTGCAAGCTCCCCATCCTGTAGGCGTGATCTGGAACCACACCCAACCTGGATGTCTACTCTGAGATGAAAGCCGGGTGACACCAGCCAGTTATGGAACATTCTGAGAGCCCCCAATAAGCAAGGATCTGGGCAGGCTTGGGAACACCCATGTTCTGTTAGGCGACATGGTGCTGTCTCCTGAGAGCCCCTGTGGAACGTGATCGGAACTGGTGAAGTGTGAGCCTGCTCAATTGCATCAGTCTTGTTTTGGTAGTTTCTAAACTCGGCCATAGAGATTCCCAGGGAATCAACATACAGTTTGCTGGGCCCTGTCCCCAGAATCGGATTCACATTTAGGACCCAAAGAGAAATGGTTGGTACCTGCAGGTTGCCAGGAGGTGTTCCTAAGCCAGGGCCCTCCCCCTCCCTCCCTCGGCAGTGCTGGGGACTGAACCAGGGCCTGGGCAGGCTGGGCAGGCGCTCTACCACTGAGCTACACCTGCAGTCCTGGGAATGTTCTCCAAACACCTTATAGACAGGACTGCATTCTAGTGTGACAACACTAACCTCTGCTTTGAATTTCATACTTGATAAGCAGTTTCCAGCCATGATTTGGCCTCACATGGATACTCTCTGGGGGGGTTTATTTGCTTGTTTGTGCAGCTTTAGCGACAGTTTGGATTTTAAAGGTTCCCCGAAGGCCATGCCTTGAGGGCTTAGTCCCCAGCTGATGGAGCCTTCAGGAGCTAGGGCCTGGCAGGAGGAAGTCAGGCCGCTGGACGCCTGCCCTCCCGGGGGTCCCGGGGCCCTTCCTGAACCTTCTGTCTCCCTGTCACCCCGGGGGGGAGCAGCTTTCTCCTCCACGTTTTGGGCTGAGCAAACAGATGGATGGACCAGGACTGAAGCCTCCGAGGCCCTGAGCCAAAACACGACCTGCTGGGGATGGAGACCCAGCTTGGTGGCAGGGCGCTGGCCCAGGACGCCCCAAGCCCTGGGCTCCATCTTCAGCAGCGTGGACGGGGTGGTGAGGGGACAACCGACCTTCCCCTCCTTCTGTTTATCTCGGGTACTCTGTCACAGTGACAGAAAGGTGGCACACCCAGGGAGAGAGAGCGCCACCAAAACTGCCTGGTGTGACATGAGCACGAGGAGCCTCTGCCGGGCGCAGTGACCATCTCCTGCCATGGCAGTGAGCAGTCACCGGCCCCATCAGCCTCTGGTCCCTGCCATGTGGGGGGACCACTCCCACCTGGTGATCCTCTGGGGCGCACCTCTGGCTCTCTGATTTCTACTGTAATGGAGAGACCACCCCAAATCCAAGTCCCATGGTCTAACTTGTCCAGGGTTTTGGGCATAGAGCATAGTACACAGTAGGTGCTCAGTAAAGACTGTCCATGATGAGGATGATGATGAAGATGAAGATGAAGAATCAGACTGTCTTGGCAAAGGCTGACGAGGTAGTTTCCTGTTGAACAAATGCATAGTCATCAGGCATTTATAAAGAAAAAGTTTATTTTCATCACAAGAAGCACACAGACTATATATAATACACACCAACGGAAGTAAAAAAAAAGTGCATTATGCATATTCTACTGCAAATTCACAGTACAAAAGATACTGCCTTTAAATATATAATATAAAAAAACAAGAAGAAAAACAATTAAAAAGTCATTGATATAACACAACACACAGGAACCCACCAGCAGCTTCTGAAATACCAAAGACTAACTCTTCCGGTGGTGTCCCAGTGGGGGACCTGTACCTACATTTTGTTGCAAAAGAGTTTAGGACACTAAGAGAGGAAAGCCAGGGTGGCCAGGCGGTAGTCACACCTCTATGAGACAAGGGCACAGCTGTGATGGGGATGGCCGAGGGGCTGGGGTCTGGAGCTTGGCCTGTGCCGCTCCCCAGCTGGCCACAAACCAAACTGTGTTCTTTTGTGGGCTCCCGAGGGACGCAGCCATGGCCGAGGCTGGCCTGGCCCCCAGAACCACGGGTGCTGTTTCTAGCAAGGCTCCCTGGAGTAGCTGTGGACACACCACGTCCAACTGCACAGCGGAGTCAACACGAGAATGGCCTAGGACAGCTTGTGTCCCACACCAACCACCACTGACGAGACAAATACCCAGTCACCAAAGATGAGAGCGCAACAGTCTCCATAAATACACAGTATTTGTAAACTAGGATTAAGGCACTGGATTGTAGAACAATGACCACGGCGTAGGGAGGGGAGGGAGCAGCCATCTTCTCATGCAGCAGGACCCTGGCCAGGACAGCGGCCCATGGGGAGTCTATTAGACGCCTGTGTTGGAGGGCGGGGCTGTGGCACCTATTGCAAGACAAGCACAGGGCAGGGACATGTGCATGGGCCCAGGGCAGCGCTGGGCAGCATCACGTCACAATGGTCCAGATGACTCCTCTGTAGCTTGGGTGACATGGCAGATGTGTGGATGAGATATGACGCACATGGTTGGATTCATCTGTATGTGCTCAGGTATGTATGAACGCACACGCCACACACCATGCATGTACAGATACCGCAGAGGGGACCCCTTCCCCAGGCACTCAGTGCAGAGCAGGCCAGAGCAGAGCCAGTGGCTAGGTGTGGAGTGAAGCAGCCACCTACACGTGGCCTGTGTCCTCGGCAGCTAACCAGGGAGTAGGACCAGACAGGCGAGGCTGCCCTGAGTTGCCCAGGCATCCTTCCTGATCTACTTAGCACTTCTGCCAGAGGGGAAGAGGTGGCCCTTGGAGAGTTTTGTGTGTTTGAGGGGAGCCCCATTAAGTGGCCATTCAACCAGCAGGGTTGGGTGAACTGAATTCTGGGACCAAGAATTCCTGGAAACAGAAAGCAATGCCTGGGGCTGGGGTTCAGTTGGTAGAGTGTTCGCCTCCCATGCACCAGGCTGTGGGTTCAATCCCCAGCACCACCAAAAGCAATGCTTTTCTTTTAGGGTATCTTGGGGAAGTTTTTTAGTATGATCTTAACTAAGTCATGTAGCATTTGTGCTCACTAGGGAGGAAGGGTCCCCGGGGATCGGGGTATTCACCAACCTTCCAGGATGGGCCTGGGGACAGAGTGCAGGGCAGGGTTGCTCTGCAGGTCTGTCCAACCTCAGCTCTCTCTGGAGGCATCCTCTGGGCTTGCAGGGTGGGGGAGGACTTCAGAACTCACTGGAATGTTCTTGAGCTGGAGAAAGCAGGTATGGGGGGAGGGGCTCGCACAGGGCAGCCACCTGTGTGCTTCTGGGGAGTGTCACCTGCATGAAGGGGCAAGGTGGGGGCAGGGGAAAGGGCCTGCCAGCAGCAGTGAGCTGTCCACAGTCCAGAGGTTGGCAGGTCCCCAGCTGAGAACAAGGAGGCAAGGAAGGCAGAGAGTGAAACCTTTCTCATGCGAAGTTCAAGCAGCCAGGGCTTGTTGTAGAAGACCCTGCAGTGGCTGGAAGAGACAGAAATGGACCTGGGCCGGGCCAGATCCCAGTCAGAGGAGGGAAGAACTGGAGCTTCTTCTCGACCAGCACCACCTCTGTGCCTCGTGAAACCTGATAATCCAGGCAAACCTGCACCAGCGCAGGACGGGCTGAAGCACACCCCAACTGTGGCACGGTGTGCATGAAGGCCATGCGGCGGGGGATGCGGCCCCATGGGGATATTTCCCTTCTCCCTTAGTTCACACAGGCATTCAAGGAAAATGACCATCACCAAAATCACTTGCCTAGCGCCAATCTCTGCGTCCCTCTCTGCTCCTCTCCTGTCCCTTATGCTGGGAATCTCCCAAAGACTATGGCCAAGCTCTGGCCAAGCTCACGGAGCAGGAGCACACTTTCTTTGCTGAGACAGTGTGAATGTCATTGTCAAGGTGCCTCTGATCTGGCAGAATGCTTTTGTCTTGTTAATGTAACACGGGGGTGTAGCTCAGTTGGTAGAATTCTTGCCTCACATGCACAAGGCTGTGGTTCAATCCCCAGCACCACAAAACAAATCAACTATGGCGACAATTTAAAAAAAACAAAAACAAAAACAGTGGTCTTGGCCTCTAAGAAAACTTTTCCTCCTTCTCTCCAGGATGGATGTAAACCAAGAAATCAAGAATGCTTCCCCCCATTGCCCTGATGACCTAATATGCTGGCTGTGCTTCCACAACAAATGGGCAAGTTTGCCAGAAGCCAAAGACCCCCTTGTATCTGTCATCTTCCCCACCCCCCACTCTTTAGCTGGTCAAAAGAAAAATTATGGCTTTCAAAATTTAAGTTTTCAAAAACATATCACTATCCTCTACGGAGGTGATAAAAAAACCAACAAAAGCCTATCATCACCAAATCTAAAGAATTATGTTGACACAAAACTTGATCTACTGCGTGAAATTGGATGTGGCAAAACATTGAACTTGGTATTTTTTTTTTATGCTTTTGTTGGCTGAGGATGAGGGGAAACCCCACACGGTTTCAAATGTAAGTGGATAATCACCTTTTTAAGTGACTTTAACTGACAGTAGTGGGCCGGGCGGGGGTGGGGGGAACCCTACAAAGTAAAACAGCAGACTGCAAAAAAAATCATGCAGTGGGAAGAGAGTCCCTGGAGAGGGTGTCTGCAGAACCCTGCGCCCCAGGTGGAGTAAGACCCGCCTGGACCCTGAACCCACCAGGTCTCCTCCAGCACAGCCGCTGTGGGGCCCAGTTCCCACCAACAGGAGATGGCGACTCACGCATCTGCTTTTGGGGCTGCCTGTCCCTGAAGGCTTTGGGTCTCACTGAGCTAATCCAGATGATCCTGCCGAGGGCAAGATGGAACTGCGGGAAGCTTCCGTGATCCCTCCACCACACACTCCTCCATCCTCCACGGGAGACCCTGGTGGGGGTGGGCTGTGAGGCCTGGGTACAGACGGGGGAGGGTTTGGCTTGAGGTGTCCAAGAGCCAGAGGAGGACTTCCAATTTGTCTTACTTTTTCCTACAGGGTCATGGGCTGCCTGGTGTCATCATATAAAACCAGGGTGGGCGACTTCTACGAAGGGTCTGGTGGTACCCACCCAGGGCTTCGGGGGCCACAGGTCCCTGCTACCATTAGTTTATTGTCTCACAACCCCTAGAGAATGTAAAAGCCCTTCTCAGCTGAGGGGGGCTGCACACCAGCCCCTGCCTCGCTCCCAAGCTGCTTCTCTCTCTTCAGGATGTCCCCGCATCTTCCTTGATCGGGGACCCAGCCCAGACCAGGTCACACGCCCTGCTGAGCTCACCTGATTCCTCGAGGCGCTGCCCAGAGCGGAGCCCAAGGAGACCTGGGCTGTCACTGCCTCTGCCAAGCCGCCGGAGAACTGGAAAGACAGGAAGCAGTTCTCCCCACTGGAAGTGGCGACTGGAGACACCGAGGACGCTGTTCCCTGTCCTTCCCCAGTCGCATTCCTCTCAGAGAAGCTGCAGCGAGTAGCTCCTGGAGCAGGACCCAGGAGAGGTCTCTGCCCCCGAAATCCCTTCCCTTTCCAAACATTGGAAAATGGGACCCAACAACCCTGAGGGGTGGGCTCCTGGGAGGATCCACCTCCTAGAACCGCAGCCCCAGCACTTCCCCAACCCAACCACGCCCAGTTCAGCAGCAGGAACAGAGAAGCAGCGGTCTGGGGTCCTCGTCCCTGAAACAGGGGCGCTGAGGGTATTGCACACGTTTCCCCCAACTGACCCCAGTGCCGACCCAATGCCTGTCAGCCGCACCAGAGCCAGGGCGGGTGGCGCTCTTGGGGTCCCCACCAAAGGAAGCCAATCTCCCTGGAAACCCCTTTCTGACAGCAGCATTCCCTGGGATGAGCCCTGGGAATCATCGTATTTAAAAAACGAAAAGCACAGCGAGAACAGAGGTAGGACTAGGCTGCCATCGCAAGTGTCTTTGAGGGTGGGATGAGCTGGGAACGTGGGCCACAGGGACGGTGGCGTCACCATGACTCCTCTTCTGCATGTTGCCATAAAACATTTTGGATGTGTGCATATCTGAACGTGCTCTTCTTGATTCAGTACTCTTCTCAGAGCCGGGACTTGGGGACAGAGTTCTGCGTCTCTGACAAATCCCCGTACCCGGCACCTCCCCTTCCTTCCTGTGCTGCCGTGTCTCCTCCTCTCCATGGCAAGAGCGGGAGGCTCAGGTGACTTGGGTTCCTTACGACAAATCAAGATGTAAGAGGCGGGTCAAAACCCACGGGGGACAAGGGAGGGATCGCATGACGAGTCTGCCGTGGGTCAGCTTCTGCTCACCCAGGAGGGGCTGTTCAAGTTTCCTGGGGCGCATTTCCCTGATGGCTTGGAGGCCGGGTTCCTGGGGATGGCCTGGGGGTCGGCGAGGGTGGAGGCGTCCGCCTCGCTGGACAGGTCCTCTGTGGAGAAGTCGAGGCTCCCGAGCTTGGCAAGAGAGTGGGAGCGCTTGAGGGGGGACGACACGGTGAGGCCGGCCAGCCGCAGCCGCGTCTCGATCTCCTGCGTCCGCTGCTTCACTAGCCCTGGCTTCCCGCGGACACTGTGGATGCTGTCACTGCTGGAGCTGCGGGTCATGTTGGAGCTGAGGGACGAGGAGGTGGGGGTGTGGCAGATGGTCCTCAGGAAGTCTCTGGAGAAGGTGCTGGAATGGTCCAGGCGGCAGGGGAGGGGCGGGGGGCTCTTCAGCGAGGCTCCTTCCACGGATTGGGGGGCGGCTTCTGGCTTCTCGTCACCCCCCGCGTGGCCAGGCAGAGCTGGGGGCCCAGGGTCCTGCGGGGTGGCGGGCTCCTGGCTCTCCTCGGGTATGCTGGCCTCCAGCCGGCCGGGGGCGCTATCTGCGGGCAGACTCTTCAGCCTCTCCAGCTCCTTGGTGTGCTTGCGGACCAGGCCGGCCTTCTGCAGCTGGATGATGGATTCCTGGTGCTGCATCAAGTAGCTGTTGGTCGTGGGCTTCTCGGATTCGCTACTGAACAGAAGCCTCAGGTCCTTCGCAGGCTTGGGATCTTTCTTGGGTGACAGTTCTTCCTTCACCACTTCCATGTTGGGAGGGTTCTTATCACAGTGAGAATTCTTCAACAGGAGGGACTTTGGCAGGACTCTGGGGGTCTCTCTAGAAGGTTCTGAAATGCTACCTGTTAGCTCCGGAGCAGCTGCGGCTCCAGAGCTGCTGGCATCAGGTCTTCTGGAACCTGCTGGTGGTAGGAAGGAGGACGCGTCAGCCACGCCAGAGGCCGGCTTCTCCAGACCTCGGGACCTGCTGGACATGTGGGCAGCAGGCGAGGATGTGAGGTGGGGCAGGAAGGCCGGCTGGGTGCAGATGGCGGGAGCACCTGGGTCCTCACACCACTCCCTGAAGGCCTCGGGAGCTCCGCTGGCTGCAGGGTACATGCAATCGGCACAGGATTTATAGGATGGCTTCACTTTGTTCAGGATCCCAAACATAGCATCGTGCTGCAAGGGGACAAGAACACTGTGAGACGGAGCACCGTCAACCAGGGACCAGACACAGGAGGAGGGCAGGCAATGCGCAGGGGCAGACCCTGGAGGGGCACCCCCTCACTGCAGTCAGTGGGAAACAAGAACTCCTGGAACCCACCTGACTGTGACGACGCAGGTCAGAGAAACCTCAGAGACACAGAACCAAGACCCAGAAGCTGAGGCCCAATACCTGGGCGTGGGTCGCATGGCCAGGAGGGTTGAGGCAGGGCCTCTGGAACCTCCCTTCTCACCTGCACAGGGTGCCTCTTGGACAGGCTGCGGTGTCCCGGGGAAGTAAGGCACCTACCCTGCTCAGTGCCAGCTCAAGGCACTGAGAACGAAGTGAAATAGCGAGTCGGCTGCAGAAGCGGAGCCGGGGGTCTTCCCCTTGCAGAAATAATTTGCATTTGGGGAGCACGCAGCCCCTGGATGGAGCCCTTCCTGTCCAGCCCAGCTAAAGGAACGGCACTAGTCACGGTCTCCACAAGAGAGGGGGCAAAGGGCAAAGACAGCGTTTGGAGACCCCAACCCAGACCTAGACACAGGTGCCTCCAGGCCCGGCCAGACCCACAGAAGACGCCGTTCACACTGTTTCCCAGGGAAACCCTCTGCTATCCGGAGTCTTCTGCCAGGTGGGGCCACCCTTCACCCCCTCAAGTGCCAAAGGACTGACTAGTCGGGAGTTGTTCTTCTGGGCTGAGGTGGAGGCAGGGAGATGGAGGGCAGGCGAGGGGACCAGTACACTGCCCCGCGAGGTTCTGGAATGGTCTGAAATGAAGCCTTCCAGGCCGAGGGCTGGAGGAGGTGCTCACGGGAGGAGGGCTTCTCCCTGAACCTCCAGAGCTGCGCAGACTCGGTTTCCCAAGACAGGAAGTCCTGGTGGCCCAGCACTGGAGGAGGCCCGGCCCTGCCCTGGAGGCTGCAGGGGATGTGCGGTGGGCATGGGAGGGCCCTCTTAGAGGACGTCTCTCTGCCAGGAACCCTGGGTCGGCTTCTGGGTCCACCAGTCGACCCTCAGTCTGACAATCTCAGGGACCCTCACCATAACGAGGCCTAATTCTTGAACCAGAATTTTCTCTCAAGCTCTAACCAAAGGGCTCCCATGTTCTTTCTTCTCACATCTGCAAGGAAATCTACTGTGGAGGGCTGGGATCAGGTGTGAGGGCACCTTTCAGAGTCAATGGGGCACAGGGTGGGCTCAGCAGGTGTGCAGGGGCCAGGATTGCCACATGAAGTCCCTCCCCTGGCTCCCTGCACAGCTGCTCCCCTCCGTCACACCACAGCCTGTCGTCGGCATGCTGACCGCCTGCGGCACGCCTCGCCACATCCCTGTGTGTCCACTCTCCACTCGCCCCCTGAGCTGCAGGTGTGCGGGGGCCATATGAGTGCGCCCTACCCCAGGCTGGCTAGGCACCATGGTAAGTGGGGGCCAGACACGGGAATGAATGCTCGTCTCGGGGTTCTGGAGGTCCTGTTTCCTAGGTGATGTCACATTCACAATCTACCCTCCCAGCTAAGCCCCTCCCCTTCTTGGGCCCGTGACTTAGCACCATGGGAGCCCACTGGTGGCACCGCTGTCCTGCAGAGTGGTCCCATGCCACCTGTCTTGATGGGTGTTTCCTCTCAGAGGGGAGTCGTGAGTGTGGGGGGACCTGGAATCCTACCTGGTTGGGGGTAAGTTTTTTGATTTGGAGTTTGCCAACTGCACCCCTCCACTAAGCCAGTCCCCACTCCTGGGCTGCTGCCCGCTGAGGGCGCAGGGAGACGGGGGCGGAATCAGGGGGGACCTGAGTGAGACACGGGCAGAGGTCCACCGTGTTCCACACCATCCACCAAGTACCACAGCCGTGGAGACAGTGGCGCTCGTGTCACGCACTGGGACATGAACTGAATATCAGACGCCTGAAGATGTCAGGCACATTTAAAGGGGGTGACAGTGTTGTGGCACTTAGCAATGATGACACCTCGGGAACTTGTTTCAAAACAGTCCCGAGGGAGGAGGTGTGGGAGGGTGAGGCGACAGGAGAAGAGCTCTGCCTCAGCTCCTGTGAAGTGGGCGACAGTTTGTTTTACATTTTAGGAAAGGAAAAAGAACCTGAGTTGGCGGCCCTGCTCCAGGTGCCAATAAGGTGCCTGGGGCAAAGACAGCTGCAGGGGTGCAGGTTGTTCCCCAAGGACCCAGAGTCACTCGGCTGGTCACGCTGCCTCCCCGCAGCCCAGAGTCACCGCCCCGCCTACCTCCAAGTCCTGGGGGCAGCTCCTCTTGCTGTTGTTGTTGTTGAGGTTGCCGCGCTCCAGGAGGCCCCGCTCAGGCTGGACCGAGGGCCGCCCCCACCTCCCTGCGCCCGGGCCCTCTTCCCTCTCCATCTCCTCCACCTGGGGCAAGGGGCCACTCCGGGCTTTGGGGCTCCCAAACTCTAGTTTCTTCTTCACATCCTTCTCGCAGAGTCCAGCGTCATCCTGGGGGTGTCTGGTGGGCTTGTGGGCCTCGGCAGGCGAGGCCTCTTCCTCCAACAGAGCGTCCCTCTCGAGATCCTCCAGGTGCACCACGCTGCCGCCGTCCTCAGGAGGGGGAGGCAGGAGGGGGTCTGAGAGCCTCCGGAAACAGCAGGGGAGAGCGGGCCCTCCTGGGGCCCGGCTTCCTTGGAGCCCGAGCTGGGCAGCATTGTCCAAGCAGGGCAGCGGGACATCAGGAGTGCCATCCAGGGTCTCCGTCAGGAAGTCGCTGGGCTCTGGAGGGTCTTCGGAAGGCGGCTGGAGGCTGCTGTCTGCCTGCTGGCCCCACAGCTTGTTGTGCCGCTGTTTGCTGCGAGGAGAGAGAGCAGAGCAAGGTGAGCGCGGGGGACAGCACCCAGAGGTCCTGACAGGGGACGGTGGGCACAGTCCAAGGTCAGCGGGGTGCCGGGCTGGCTCTGCCTTGCTTAGGTCATGCCTCTCGCTATCATTGTCAAGATGTGCGAGGACCCTGAGTCACCATGGCTGCACTGGAAGCTGCACACGCATGTGCCTGTACCAGGGGATGGCGGACATGCCAAGGTGGCCTGAATGGTAACTGACCTGGTGTTTGGTCCCCGCTCACCGTGTGAGCGTAATCGTGCCACTTAGGTTTCTCTGTGGCAGGAGAACACTCCCCCTCCCACCCACACTGCAAGGACATCAAGGGGGTCAGGGCAGAAAGTACTGGAGCTCAACTGACCGACAGAACTACGTCCACAGGAAACACATGAAAATGATTGGAAAGGTCCTAGAAAATCGTGGATATCTGCGCAGGTCAAAGATCACAGGACGATTTCTAACGCTTTAAGAGAACCCTAAACCCTGCCACCGACCATCTGGAGTGTCCCACTCAGCTGTGTCAGCCATGTCCCTGGCCCTGCAGTCACCACCCCCATCTGCTCCCGTAGTTCCTGTCACCTTACAAGACTCAAATGCCACACCCAGTAAACACGGCGCTGTCCTCCCCAGCCCCTGCCACCAGGACCCCAGCTTTTCTCTTCAAACCTGACCACTCGGGGCCACTTACAAATGGGGTTCTGTAGTATAGAATGCTTTCTTGTGACTGGCCTGTCTCACTCAGCATGATGCCCCAAGGTCCAACAGACTGTAGTAGGTGCCAGAATTTCTTTCTTTCTTTTCTTTTTTTTTCTTTTTGAGACAGCTCTTGTGGCTTCGTGCAGTGGCAGCTTCGTAGCCAAAGAGGTTTCTCTGAGGTGTGGTCATTGCTAACTGAGTGAGGCCTTGCTGTGGTATCCAGGCTGCCCTTGAACTCCTGGGCTCCAAGGACCTGCCCGCTTGGCCTCCAGTACTGGGATCACAGAAAGCCCTTTCCTGGTGGCGTCTGCCACCTCACCCAGCTACCCTTGCCTTCCACTCTAAGACAGAGAGATGTTCCACGTACTTATACACTCTCCAGCTGAAGACCCCCGGTCTGCCCCGACCTTTTGGCCACCGTGGATAATGCTGCTGCCCTGAGGGTAGAAATCTCCAAGTCTTTCAGTCCTTCTGTGATCTGCTGGACCTATAGTGACTCCGCTTTTCATTTTCTAAGGGATGACCACAGCCTGTGGCAGCGACATTCAGGTGGGATTAGCTCTTAGCTCAGACGAGGGTGCTGAGGCCCAGGGAGATTGACCAGCCTCCCTGATCACCCAGCTGGCCGGTGGTGGAACCTGGCCAGTCACTGGGGCTGTCCTGGGGTTGCCTTGCTGGGAGACTGGCTCGCAGGCCTTGGCACAAAGCAGATGCTCAGGAAACAGGACAGGCACATGCCCACCACGCAGCAGGCCGGGCCCTGGATGGGAAGTTAGGCCCCATTCCCTCCAGCAGCAAAACAAGCTTTGTGTGCGCGCCAACAAAGCCAAAACAGACCCCTCCTGGAAACTACTCATCAAATCCCAAACAATGGCGTTTCTCTCAAGCCAGCTCCCCCTGCGAGGCAGACTGACAGCTGCAGAAGCCGCTGGCCAACGGGAGAACTCTGGGACGCAGAGCAGGCTGGCTAGCGTGGCCACAGGGCGCTGTGCTCAGTCTGCCCTGCCCTTGCTCTCCAGGGGGCACCCACCTTGCGTCCAGGATGCCTTCATACTCAGACAGCTGCCTCATGAAGCCTGCATTGGGCCGTGTGACGCTTCGCTTTTGCTTCACGTAGTTGTAGGCTTTCTCCAGGGGCCAGCCGAACTCCTTCATGGCATAGGCGATGACGGTGGACGCCGAGCGGCTGACCCCCATTTTGCAATGGACCAGGCACTTGGAGTGGTTCCGCCTGCAGGGGAGGGAGTGGTGTGAGCAAAGTACTGGAGTCTTTAGCAACTGCCTTCTCTGGGCTTTACCCACTGAATTTTTAAGCCCCAAAGTTGTCTCGTGGCACAAATCCTGTTGGAATGTCGGGGAGCAGATTCCATACGCCCTCTAAGGGAAATAACTCGGCTGCAAAACCAACTAGCACACAGGAGGAAGTCAGGGTCAACTGGCCCTGGCCTGCTGCGGGACAGCTCCAAAAGCAGCTGCTTTCAGACATAAAGTGGATCCTGCAGTCACTGGGACAGGCTGGCCACCGAAAGCCCTTTCCTGGGAAGGACCGGGCAGCTAAGCAGATGGCCACACAAGCCACTCAGCTGTTCCTGCAAACGCAGACAGTGAATGAGCTGCTGTAGAAAACGGGGTCAGCCAAGCAGAACTGCACGGGGAGAGTGAGATGCTCGCTGGACACAGGCCCAGGGGCAAGAAGAACCGGGCTCGGCCAAGACAGAGATGGGCCGACCTGCCGCGGGCCAGGAGGCAGCTCAGTCCCAGGTGCGGCTGAGTGACAGCTACAGAAGGGCCAGGAACTGGGACGCTCTACACATCACCTTGGAGAACACCGGGGGACACCTGGCTGTAGGGGCCGAACTCATCAGTCCAGAAGGCGACCCCAGGGGAGCAGGTGCTGTTTCCTGTACCCCAGGCTTAAAGAGAGCGAGGATTTGGTAAGGACGGACGTGCAGCTCTGGCTGGAGGGGTACGAGGGAAGGGGGAGCTTCCCTGATAGCATCTCCAAGGGGGAGCCCTCTCTGTTGTGGACTTCGGTAAGACAGCTGTTCTGCAGGGGAATAAGGCGGGGACAGAAGGAGAGTGGGAACATGGTGGGAACCCTGTCTGGGGCAGCGGGCCGGCACCCCTGTCACCTGTGCTAGGCACACAGGAATACCTTACTTGGGGAGTCACACAGAGCCCTGAGGGCACCCTCCCCAGCTCTTCGCCCCCAGGGGAAGCTTCCACATGCACTTGGTGCTGAGTCCTTGCCTAGAACACCACAGATGACAACAGGGTCATGCCACCAGGACAGAAGGAGTTTGCCAGAGAGCCACCCAAAGGAGACAAGCACCCGCTGTCCCCTCTGGTGCCTGGGGTTCTGCAGCCAACACCAAAAGTCCCAGGGACAAGAAGGCGTCCTCAGCCAGCAGCCTCGCGGCCTGCCCAGCACCCCCCAGCCCCCCCAGCCACCGCCCTCTGCGGAGCCACGCCCCCTCGGACCAGGCCCCGCCCACTTACTTGGCTTTGTTTATAAAGTGATATGCTTCGTTCCAGTGGGCAAGGAGGTCCGTGGTCTCCTCGTCGTACACTCGGATGTTATGATATGCAAACAAGCCAGGGAAAAAATTGTCTATTTCTCGAGTGACATTTAAAATGTAGTCAACCCTGCAGTGAGACAGATAGACAAAAAGTGGAGGATGAGAAGGAGGGACCACGAAAATAAAGCAACACAACACCAGCAGAGAAAAAGAAATACACATGAGGCACATGCTCCTGGTGGGACGTCTGCTTTTCCTTGATATTGAATTTCTGTCAGGTGCACTGGCGCTTGCCTGCAATCCCCAAGATTCAGGAGGCTGAGGCAGGAGGATGGCAAGTTCAAGGCCAGCCTGGGCAACTCAGTGAGACCCTGTCTCAAAATAGAAAAGGGTGGGGGTATAGCTCAGTGGTAGGGTGCCTTGTGTTCAATCACCAGCACTGGGAATTTTTTTTTTTTTTTTGTATTTCCTGTACAAAATGAGAATGTATTATACATATACACACAAAACCAAAAAGTACCTTGATTAGAAAGGTCTTATAAAAAAGAAAACTCAGTTTGAAGCATTGAAGCATTGCTTAGCAATCTTAACTATGGAAAGTAAACATGTCTCTTAAATACATTTCTAAATTCCTTAAAGTTTCAAAATTTATAACTATCAGTAGTATACAGTGGCATTAAAAAAACAATCTCCCAACAATCTACAGTCTTAAATAGTTAAAAAGCAGAATAAAACCATCCATTATTTAAGTTCTTGGGAACAGTCTTAAAGCCTTTTGAAACAAGGCAAGATATAAATAAATAAGAATCTGAGGAGTCTGCTGACCCAGATTCTGTAGTTCTCTAACCTAATCAGTATTTTCACTTCTAGAAGACCAAAATAACTTCGGGAGTTAGAAAACATCTCAAATCAGTTTCTTAAGTGAATACTTATCATGCACTCGAAGAGCTTTAAGAGTCATCTATTGATTCCCAGCAAGACAGAAGCATAGAGTCCCAGCCCACATTTGAAGAATACTCTGTTGAAAGAACCCATCTTAACCAGTAGTTCTAAAGATATATTTTAAGATTTGTTTAGTCTTGGTTTTCAAATGTGGTAATTTAAGAATGCCATCATGTCAGACCCAGAGAATGGTGATTTTGTGGCTGTGTTGTTGTTGTTGTTGTTTTTTTTAAAGTGCAGACATGTGTTCTTGAAGGTCTAGGTTTAAACATTTTTCACTCTTATTGCTGAGCATTCTCAGAGACCCTGGCTACTGAGCTGCAAGATTCCCACCAGGCCCAGAGGTGTAACCTCCAACAGAACCAGGAATGGGCCAGGTGTCAGGGCTGCTGAGTGGCCTGACAGCTCACAGAGATGTGCGGCCCTGCAAGGAGCAGCAGCAGCTCCGCAGGGCGGCGGGGCAGGGTGAGTCCAGGGCCTGTCGGGTCTAGGCTCTGGGACGTGCCACCGGAGTGTGATTTAGGAGGCTGCTCGTGACCCACACAATCACAGACTCCACAAGATCTCAGATCCATGAATTATTCAGAACATGGCATTTTGAAGCACATCTGTTTAGCTATGCAAATCAGCCCCTCCAGCCACTTCAGAGACCAGGGTGCAGGCAATTAGAGGGGAGCCGGGCCACCTCGGCAATAGAGGTGGGCATTCCCAAGCTGCCTGAAAGGACAGGGGAAGACAAGGGGAGCAGACTCACCCTGAGCCCTGCAGCTCCTCCAGGTTGGACGCATTCCATTCAGAGCCCTGGGGGACAGATCACACAAACCCCGTGAGTGTCGCAGTTATCCCCGGAGCTGCTTGTGGGAGGCGCAGGTGCCCAACCCTGGACGGTGGGTCTGCCGGCCTCAGAGACCAGAGGACGAGGCTCATACCCCCGTGGGTTCCCAAGGCCCTCACAGATCAAGAGGTGACAGTGAGGGGGAGGGTGGCCCTTGGCCTTGGGGAGAGAGCGAGTCCGGGAAACTGCTTCCTTCCCGGGGGCCATGGTGGGGCGCTGTCACGGAGGCCGGGACCGTGACCTCCTCACCACTAAGGACAGTGGGAATCGTGTCCCTTCTCTGGGAAGCATTCTGGCAATAGTTTAGACGTTCCTATCCTCTGACCCAGTGATTCCACCTACAGAAAGCTCCCTGAGGAAACGGTCAGAACTCAGAGGACGAACAGTGGAAACAGCCCACAGGTCCAACAGGAAGAGGCCGACAGAGCAGTGATCTCCTTACAACAGGGCCCTCAAGACAAGCAGCCTTTTGGAGGCTGTTCAGCGGCCCAGGGAAATACCATGTGAGGAAAACAAAAAATACAAAGGAAAGCAGAGCACAGGGGCACATCGACCGCGTGACCATCTCCCTCTCGTGTTTGAAACGCTGGGAGGCGTGAAAGAGGCCCATCGCAGGGCCTGAGTTCAAGGCCCAGCCCCGAAAAACCCCAGATGCCCCAAACACAGAGGATGGGAAGTGGACACAGACTGCTCAGAGACCAGCTCTGGTGTAGGAGTGCTTGTTTCTTCTTTAGACGGATTTATTTTTCCAACTTTCTACAACATGTGTTCATTTAATTCTTTTTAATACTTTAAAAATAAAAATGCCATTGTTCAAAAATGAACCCTGTGACACACAAACAACATGAAAGGGAATAAAAGCAAAAATGACCACTTTGTTCTTAGGTGACTTGGAGGACACAGAGTCACAGAGGGCAGAGGCACCCAGGGCTCAGTCTCCTTGATGCCCCTGTCCTAAGCTCCTGGTCGGGCCCTCCAGGATGGGGCCCGGCTGGCCGTGTGAGGGGCGGCTGCACTCTGGTATTTGACGGAGTCTCAACCATAAAAATTCCTTTAATATCTCTCATGGAAAAAGTGACATAAAGTACCAAACCACACCGAAAAAATAACCACAGCTCTGAGAAGGCCATGAGCACCCCCTAGCTGTGACCACCACCTGTGGAGAGACAGGGGGAGTGGCCCATGTCAGTTTCACCAGGACAGGGTCAGGGCCCTGCTTGGACCTTCCCAGGCAGAGCCCCCTTGTCACCCATCACTTGTCTAAAACACAAATAGGAAGCCCACCGGCACAGGAGGGTTAGTCCTGTGAGCACCGCGCCTTCCCCATCTGTGCAGCTATCCTGACAGACACAGAGCTCGGGCCACTCCTGCAGGCGGGGAGCAGCCAATGGTGTCTGCAGCAGGACCCCCCCTTGGCTTCCCGGGAGCGCTTTTCCTCAACTCATGGCTGCTGTGTACAACAGTGTCCAAGGGAACGGCGCTCAGTGCCTTCAACAGGCATCTTACTGAATCCTCACAATCATGAAGGATCCAGAAAAAGAGGGAAAAGAGACTCGCTCCAGGTCACAGAGCAGGTGAGGCAGGAGGGTCTGGCACTCTGGGCCGACTCGCATTCCACCGCGGCCTCCCATCTAATTTTAGCAAGGCCGTCCTCCAGAGTCCCCGACGCTGAACACTGGCCAGCTGCCTTCTGTGGAGACTCACGGCGTGGGGACCTGGGAGCAGAGGCCGGAGGGGCGGGGAGTCTGCACACACTGTGCAGAGCCTCTGTGACCAGGCGACCCTCCTGATGGGCTGCGGGCAGGGCAGCGGAGGAGCCGTCAGCACCATCCTGCCCCACTGGGGATGCCTGGGCATGGTGCTGGGCTCAGTGGGCACGTGCCCACCACTAGCTGGGTGTTCATGGCCCATGAACCACTCGAGGGTATCTGGGTGGGACCTGTGTGTTAGTGAATGAAGACAAAGAGCCCTGAAGGTCTGAAGACACTCGCCAGGTGACTGCCAGGTGTGCCCAGACCAGTCCCCGCAGCTCAGCTGGAGCCACTTCTCAGACACCCCAGGGCAGACCATGGGCTGCAGCTGGGCAAGGGGGTCCGAGCCAGGGTGGGGCTGCCTGAGCTGGCACCCTGCCTGCCTCCTCCCTCTGACCTGCTGCGAGCGCCAGATCAGGAGGTCTGCCTTATGACCCCAGACCGGTACTGCCACAGCTGTGCCTCTTACGAGATAAAGGTGGTCGAAGATGAGGGACGGCTTGTCCATCTGCCCCAGGATGAGCAGCATCTCGTTGTCTATGAACTCCTTGAACTCTTTCAGGTTGCAGTTCATCTGTTTCTCCAACTCATTACGGATCTGTGGCGTGGGAACATCAGGAAAAGTGATTTGTTAAAAAAAAGAAAAAAACAAACAAAAAAAGTTGCCCACCTCCAAACAATTAAGTCATAATTAGCTTTAAACGTGATTAATTTAAACAAATTGAAGCAGTTTTCAAAAAGGGTGCATTTTTCTTTTTTGTGTCCAGAGGAAGGCATCCACAGCACCCAGATGTGGTGGGAGGGATGTGGATCACCCAGCCTCCAGGTAAACCCTACTGGGGGGCATTTATTATTTTGAATAAGGAATGTGATTTCCAAGGGATCTTTTCTGAGTTTGAAGCACTTGCTTTTTTTTTTTTTTTTGTACCAGAGATTGAACCCAGGGTGCTTAACCACTAAACCACACCCCCAGCCCTTTTTTATATTTTATTTAGAGACAGGGTCTTGCTGAGTTGCTTAGAGCCTTGCTAAGTTGCTGAGGCTGGCTTTGAACTCTCGATCCTCCTGCCTTAGCCTCCTGAGCCACTGGGATTACAGGCATGCACCACCGCACCTGGCCAACCACTTATACTTTAACAATTAAATAACAAAACACATCTTTTTTTTTTTTTTTTTTAATATTTATTTTTTAGTATTTGGCGGACACAACATCTTTGTTTGTATGTGGTGCTGAGGATCGAACCTGGGCCGCACGCATGCCAGGCGAGCACGCTACCGCTTGAGCCACATCCCCAGCCCCCAAAACACATCTTAATGAGAACCTAAAGTCAGTTTCTTCTTGTTTGGGAAGGCATTGCCACATGATTTCTGAAAAAATATTAACTGAGCCAGGTACAATGGTGCACACCTGTAATCCCAGTTACTTGGGAGGCTGAGGCAGTAGGATTGCAAGTTTGAGGCCAGGCTGGGCAATTCAGCAAGATTCCATGTCAAAATTAAAAATTTAAAAAGGGGGCTACGGATGTAGCTCAGTGGTAGAGTGCTTGCCTAACACATGGGATTCAATCCCTAGTACTAAAAAAAAGAAGAAAGAAAACACCTAGTTTAAGCTGCTGTCATAATTCATTGCATTCCTTGAACAACAGATAAAAAGCAACAGACAGAATTTTAAAAGTGATCAGGAAAACATTAAAAGGCGGACAGAAGACACCTTGCTGGTCGGCTGCGATCCCGAGCAGGAAGAAGTCAGCTGGCTCTCTACAACACAGGGCAGCGGGGGCGGAGAGGGAGAGGGCCTAAGCTACACGCTCCGGGTGAAACCAAGCACCTCATGGAATCGTGACCAAAGGTGACACAGGCGAGGCTCCGAGGACTCCAGAAACACGTCCACGCCCCACAGCCAGTAAATGGTGGCCCTGCTGCCAGGGCAGAAGGGGGCCGAGGGGAGTGTGTCTGGGGACAGGTCCTGGCCTGCTGCCGCTGCCCGCCCCCGGCCGGGGAAGGAGCTCTGGGAAGAGGGCTCTTACTTCCTTGGAGGTGACGTTTTCGAGATCCTGGCTCATCATGATGCTCCGCAGCTTGGCTTTAATGAGGCGCTCGGTCCTCTCCCCTTCAGTTGGCCTGGAGAGAAATGCCGTTTAGGAAGGTGCGCGGCTACGGATGCTCAGGTCCCAGGTCGCAGGAACGCGGCAGGGACTAGCGAGGTCGGCTCTGGGGGTGCATGTTCTCAGGTCACAGAGGCACTGGCGCCCGCCTGGACAGCACATCGGGAGGTTTGGAAACCCACTCACTCAGGCCCCACGTCGGTGTCACAGACTCTTAGAGCAGGACTCTGGACCTGCCAGGGGAGCAGTCCCACACCACTGGGTCTCTGCCTCTGCCTGGCCACATGGGGTGGGCGGCCTCGGCGGGCCGTGCTCCTCACCTCCTCCTCACAGTGAAGGTCCAGGCCTCCCAGCCCAGCCCCCGCCACAGCCCAGCCCAGCGTGAACAGCTCTTGGGCCACATGGGCCAGGGTGACCCTTCTTCCCACGAGGCCCCGTCAAATCCCTAAGCTTCGATCCTTCTCCCCGTCCCTTCAATTTCCTTGGGCCTCCAGTCATCTGGCCACTCTGCTCTGTACAGTCCTCAGAATGCAGCGTCCCAGGGACACAACACGCAGGGGAGTGGGCCCTGACCCAGGAGGGAACAGCTCCCCTCTCAAATCAGACTCAGGCCCAGTGGTGCGCCGGCGGCCACACGAAGGCCACGTGCTTCACTGTCCCTGCTGCCAACGGGTGCTGCCCTCGGGACAGAAGGACCCAAGGAAGCAGGGGTCACATTCATGACTCTCCTAGAGCAGAGGAAGTGACTTTCGGGACTTAAGGAACTGCAACCGACAGAGGAAAGGCCCAGACACAGAGCATCACCCAGGAGGGGTGAGCGGGGCAGCTCATTCCCTTGGGGGTTTGATGGAAACGAGGACTCGTTCCCCAGATGTACACTCCCCAAATTCATCTATGATTTTTAAGGTGTGTCACAAACTCTCCCCACAGCCAGGCTTCCTGGGGTCCCAGGTTAGAAGCTGTTTTGTTTTTTTGGTACCGGGGATTGAACTCAGGGGCCCTCAACCACTGAGCCACACCCCAGCCCTATTTTGTACTTTATTTAGAGACAGGATCTCACTGAGTTGCTTAGGGCCTCACTTTTGCTGAGGCTGGCTTTGAACTCGCCATCCTCCTGCCTCAGCCTCCCAAGCTGCTGGGATGACAGGCTGCACCAAAATGCCCGGCTCCTAGAAGCCCCATTTTAGAAGCGTTCTGGGAAGGGAATGCTTGGCCCAGGGCTGCAGGGAGGTGTTTGGGCAGGTGCCGCACATACTTGTCCACAAACAGGGCTGGGGAGTCAGGCCGCGTGGACTCCAGGTCCTGCATGGCGTTCCACTCGTTGATGCAGCTCTGCTCAGAGCTGATGCAGCTCTCGTAGTAGGTGGCCCAGATGAGCGCCACACCCCCTGGGAAGTAGTTGTGTCTTCGGGCCACCTCGCAGGCCTTGTGGAGCACCTGCAGGGCAGACCTGGGTGGGGAGAAGGCCAGGTCGGGAAACCAGGAGAAGCACGGCCTCCCTCCCCAGGAGGGCTCACAGGGCAGGTGTGGGCCAGTGCACAAGGACTTAGCTCCTGGAGTCCTGCTTACATGCGAGGGCGTGTGGGTGACACGTGGCAGCTGGAGACGGACAGCTGCCAGGTCCCAGAGCTAGCCTCTGCACATTCACCTCTGCTGAGCCCACAGTGGGGGAATGTCCTTCACTGTCCGGAAACAGGGAAAGACAGACCAGAACAGAAACCCAGGGGCGGGAGGTACCTCAGCGGAGCATGCGCAGGGCCCTGGCTCCACCAGCACCACAGGACGAAAGTCAAGCCCAAACTTCCCGACTCCCAAACACACGGGCTCACACGTTGCTTTACGTTCCACTGATTAACCACAGAATCACGGGTGACCTCGGAAGTCACAGTGACCCTGAGTGTGGGGACCATAGGAGCCCTGACCGCAGGAAGGAAATCTGGCTGCGTCCCACATGGTCGCCCTCCATGTGACCATCACTCAGAGGGAGACTCCTTGAGGACAGGCGCGGAGCAGCCCGTTTGGATGCGGAAGCCAGAGGAAGAGGAGGTGTGGGGGGCGGAGGGGCAGAAACAGGGACACCCACAATGTAGTTCACCTCGTCCACCAGAAGCCCAGGCTGAAGGTCCTCCGCAGTGGGGCGAGTTAGGAACCAGCAAAGGGTGGCAGAGGCCCTGAAAGGGAACTGCCAGAGTGCCTCGGGTGTAAGACACCCAATCTGGTCCACTGTCCCCAGGCTGGCTGAGGAGATCAACCTGAGCTGAATGTTACTAAATTTAGTTCTGGTCCCAGAGTTTTTGAAAAATTGCGTGGGCCTGTTTTTTATTTGCCTGGAGAGTAAATTATTTAGGGCCACACAGAGACATCTGGGGCATGTATTGGTTTATTGACCAGAACTACAATTTCATGATTTTCTCCCTCCAAAATGATTCTGAATCAACTGTGGTGTGGTCACAAAGGAGGTAAAGCATGTGGCATGGCATTAACCTGGGGCCCACAGGAGAATTCTGCGTCACTCACTGCCCCTGAGAAGAGCACAGTTAACCTGAACCGTGGGCAGAGCCCGTCTCTCTGATGCCACTAGCCCCTCCTGAACTTCTCCCAGCTCATCTGGAGAGGCGCTGGGCTGAGCAGGCTGCACCTGTGGAGTGAGACCCTCCAACGGAGAGGAAGGCTCTAGGACAAGCTGTTCCAAGGCACCTAGCAGCCTAGTGCCACCTTCAGCCCAAGTGGTGTGTCCGTGGAGGCCCTGGGCCCACGCAGACCTGGGCCCTGGAGTGGCCCAACACCTGGGAGAACCTGCCCAGCGCTCCAGGTATCATGTAACTTGTCCATGTGCTGTGGCCCCCAACCCAACAGGTCAGTCTTGTGACCACTCCCACCAGATGCTCCATGTCCAGCAAAGTGCTGCTCCTCGACTGCACACGCTGAGCAGCTACTCCGTGCCAGGCACGGGGATTAAGTGGACTGATGCCAGGTGACATTTTATTGCCAAGAGCCCATAGAGAGAGGCAAGATGACAATATAGAAACATCTAGGCCAAGGACTGGGACAGACAGTCCTCCGATGAGGACATCCAATGGGAAATAAGTGCATGAAAAATGCTCAAGAATCCTCAGGAGAAGACAAACCAAAACCACAGCGAGGTACCACCTCACAGCTACTAAGACGGTGAGTATAAGATGTAAAAACTGGTGAGACGGGCCTGGTGGTACACTCTTATAACCCAAGCTACCTGGAGAATGAGGCAGGAGGGTTTTAAGCTCAAGGCCAGCGTTGGCATTAGCAAGACCCTGGCTCAAAAATAAAATACAAAGCATTAGGGTTTAGTCCTGTGGTAAAGCACCTGCCTAGCATGTAAGGCCCTGGGTTTAATTCCCACACACACAGACATGCGTCCATACAACCAATTAAAAGAATAAAATAAGATAAATGACTGATAACCCCAGTTCCCCAGGAGGCTGAGACAGGAAGATCAGGAGTTCAAGACCAGGCTAGGCAACATCCGAAGACCCTGACTCAATAAACAGGTAAATAAATGACAGGAGTTGATAAAGAAATGCAGAAATGGGAACTCTGCACTCTGCTGATGGGAACGTGAGCAGCTCAGCCACAGTGGGAAGAACTGGTGCTTTCCCAGAAAGTCAACGCAACCCGTGACCTAGCAATTCTACTTCTGGGTAAAAACCAAAAAGAACGGGAAGCAGGGCCTCACGGGAACCGTCACGCAGCTGAACCGACCCTCCGTGGGCAGGAGCTGGCCACGTGAACACCACCAGTGCCTTCACACAGGGAACAGTACTCAGCTTATAAAAAGAAGGTAATTCTGCAGACTCGGTAACATGAATGACCCTAAAAACAGCACGGCTAAGTGCAAGTGGGACACAGAAGATTCTGCTTATGAATTTCCTAGAAAGGACAAATCCACTGGGGCAACAAGAATGTGGGTTGCCAGGCCTGGGGAAGGAGGAGCGAGCACAGAGCTCCCTCTGTGATGAGGACCAAGTCCAGAGACGGACAGTGGGGACGGCCACGAAGCTCCGAGAAGAGGCTTTACACCGCCGAATTATACGCTTAAAACACGGTTCCAATGGCACGGCCCTCTTGAGCCTATTTGCTGGGCACGCCCCAGCTCGGGCCCTGGAGAGCAGGGCTTCTCTTTCATTGCTTTACTAGTGATGTCTGTCATACAGGCTTTGATCCCAACAATGTGTCACTGTGGTGATCCTCACAGGCACATCACATACCGTGACGCCGTCCACCCTTGCCATTCCTCCTCCCCAACAGGTTCCTCAGAAAGAGTTTTTCATTCTTCTTTTCTTTTTTTTTTTTGGTACCAAGGGGCACTTAACCACTGAGCCTCATGACCAACCCTTTTAATTTTTTATTTTGAGACAGGGTCTTGCTAAGTTCCTTAGTGAGTTCCTTAGTGAGGCCTTAGGGCCTCACTAAGTTGCTGAGGCTGGCTTTGAACTTTGAACTCAGCCTCCCGGGATCACAGATGTGTGCTGAATGGGGGTCTTGCTGTTCGTGGTGTCAGCTAGAAGTACCCTGCCGAGGGGATAGGGTCCTTGAAGACACACTTACCACATGGCCTGGACAGACACGGGCTTGAATATGTGCATCCTCCCTGCCGTGCTCACGCTGAACCCACTGAGGACGAGAACAAGGAGAAGGGCAGCTGTGGGGAAGGTCGGACCCTGTGGTCAGATCCCCGCCGGTGGCAGAGCAGCCCTGCCAGGGACTGGGGAAGAGCACGCTCCACCGTCGGGCGTGGTGCGAGGTGAGCCAAAGGCAAGCCAGGACGGGGTGCTCCCCACCCAGCAGGATGACACTCCCAAAACTCAAAGTGCATCACCATGCGGGGCCAGGACAGTGCCTGGTGTCATCTGTCTCAATAACTGACCCTGCCTACCTGCTCCCTCTGGCACCACACACTCATCGATATATTTTTTTTAATTACATGAAAACATATTAATGGAAAACAAAATTTTAAAAAGGAAAAGTATCCTATGATCCCACTACTTCAACCCAACGAATGTCTGTCCTTTCCAGTCCTCTCCAGGGAGCCACTTCAGCAGCCTAGAATCCATGTGCAGGAGTGACCACCCGCCTCCCTCCTGTCCGCGCATCCGGAGGCCCTCACTGCCCCAGGAGAGAAGGTGCCTGGAGCCTCTAGCCCTGTCTACCTGCCCAGGCCCCTGGCGTCCTCCTCTGAAGTCCCCAAACTGGCAGGTGTCTTCCTGGCACCCCAAGACGGGACTCCAGCTGTATCACACCCCTCTGGGAGCTGACAGGGTGGCCCGGCGTTGAGCCCAAGGGGAGTGGCTGCGGGGCAGCGGATGGCTGCTCCTGAGCGTCACCCAGCCGACCTGTGGCAGGCTTCTGCTGCTGCCTGACGCGAGCTCCCTCAGAGAACCTCCAGAACGCACGCTCCCCTGGGGCTCCCTGGACCCCAGCACTACCCTCCTAATAAAGTCGACCCCAGGCTGCCTGCCGGCCGGGCCTCAGCGTCGACCGGGCCTCAGCGCCGACCGGAGAGGGTCTTTCCGAGCGGTCCTTACCCGTCTCCATCCAGGTGGATCTTCGTGTCGCTCCACAGCCGCAGGACCATCCCAATGGTGCAGCTTTTGCTACATCAGGGGATAGAAGACACCTGGAGTCAGTGTCCACCCAGGCACTGGCCCAGTGTTCCCTCAGTCCCTCTACCCAGCCTGTCCGGCTCCCAGACAGCCACCACCCGACTGGGATGGGCTGCTGGGCCTGTATTTGGAAGAAGTCCTCGGTGCCCGGGAAGAGTCCTCTATAACTGGATTCTAGAAGACAGGGGTCTGGGTGGCCCTGCTAGGGGAGCACCAATGGCCGCACCATTTTCGTGTGGGGTATGGGCAGCAGACGACTGGTTTGCACCCACACTGCAGCGGAGAAGCCACCGACGCTGGCACGGTGCTGGCAGAAGGCCACATCCAACCAGGGCCCCTGGACAGGTGGCAGAGCCAGCCCCAGCCTCCTCTGTCCTGGGGGGCAGGAGTGGGCGAGTGCCCGCCTTACTATTAATGTACTTTCAGACTTCTGTTTACCGCCCTTTGTGCAGCTGCCACCTTACAAACTGGCTGAATCTGGTTTTGTCTTGCCCATCCCAACAGGGAAATGATACTTGTCAACTTTAGCGACTGGCGCCACTGAAAAGCAGACCGAAGACACTTATCAGAGGGGCTCCTCAGATCACCAGGAACACTCTCGGGGCATTTAAAACAGCTTGTGCGAAACGGCCACGACCATGCCAGGGGCCAGCCCTGCTAGCCACCAGGATCCTGGACTTATGCGTCTGCCACTCAACAGTCCCCTTGAGGAGTAACTTGACTCCGCCAGACCAGGGGCTCTGGGACTCAGGCCAGTTCCTCCTCCAGAGCATCCCCACCACGCAGGCCCCTCCTCCTGACCACTTGCTTCCACATCTGTTCAAGGCCTTCAAGTGCCTTCGGGTCGAGCCGATTCTCTGACTCTGCCCCAGCAGCCCTGCCCAATCTCGATGGGCTCACCATATGTCCTTAATACTCAGCTGTACCAGGGCCAGGAAGGGCCGATACCCAGCCATCCTGGAAAGGCAGGCCTTGGCACTGAGCACACAAGCCAGGGACTAGCAAAGAACAGAGGTCACAGCACAGACAGCCACACACAGCCCAGGCCAGGAGGGGCTCCAGGGCAGGCAGAAACCCCCACAGCCTGCATGGGACAAGGGGCACCTCAACCGTCCTCCCCTGGGCCCAGATAGGGTAAGAAGCTGGCAGCAGTCAGAGTCCATAGAGGACTTGTGTTTTTTTGGGGGGCGGGTAACTGTGGATTGAACTCAGGGGCCCTCGACCACTGAGCCGAACCCCCAGCCCTATTTTGTATTTTATTTATAGACAGGGTCTCCCTGAGTTGCTTAGGGCCTTGTTTTTGCTGAGGCTGGCTTTGAACTCACCATCCTCCTGCCTCAGCCTCCAAGCCACTGTGCCGGCTCCACAGAGGACTTCTGTTCACAGCCCTGAACTAGAGCCCAGAGCACAGACAGGGGACCACAAGACTGTACCGCCCCACAACTCCTCTAACACCACAGTGACCAACACCAAGTCTCTGTAGCAGAGGTGGGTCTATGGATTGGATAACATGGGAGCTGGGGAGGGGTCTTCCTAGAGGAAGAACGCGCTGAAGGGTCAAGTGGCGGGTGGCAACTCTACCAGAAAGCAGGTTTCCAGACCCTGGGGCCCAGGCAGTGGAAACGGAGAAGCCAGCTGGGCCTGCACAGATGGAGGCACCGGCAGGAGAAGGGCCTGCCCCAGACCTTTACAGGAGGCAGACATTAATGCACAGAGGACAGCAGTGTGGCTCTCAAGAAGTTCCTGAATCTCAAATGACAATTAACCAGACGTGGATCCCTGGGGCGGCTACCTGGCCTCCCAAGGAGGCATGAGCAGGTCTAGAACTCCGGGGACAATGCCAGCCGCACCAGCCATCGTTTCCACACGATTTTTTCTAACACGGCTCGCCTGGACACCCTGTCACCAGGAACCAAGGAAGGTCCCCGGGAGGCGATGCTCTGCTTTCTCTCTTTTGGGCTAAGGAAACGAAATCTCGCAGCAAGAATTTAGGAAAACCAGAGAACCGTGACCTCAGCAGGGGAAGCCTTTCTGGTGAGGACTGGGGATCTGCAGGCCAGGGCACAGGAGGACAGCGGGCACCTGGGCAGTGTGGGAGCCACAGAGCAGCAGCTCCCAGACCCCCACATGCCCAGAGTTCCCTGAGTCCTCCTCTTTCAGCCTCTCCACCCCCTGTCCAGCCACAAGCCAGCTCCTCCTTGAGGCTGGTGCCCACAAGAGGCAGCAGCTGAGACCAGACAGGGTAGGGAGACGCTGGCACAGGGCCACAGTCCCAGGGAAAGGGGACCCCACAGAGAACCCGAGCCAGGGCATCAGGAGGAGGGCAAGGGAAGAAGGCACAGACGGGCAGGACACGTCGGAAGGGAGGGGCCTGGGCAGCATCCCGAGTGGGAAGAACAAAAGGGGGTCCTGCGTGCAGGCCGAACGTCATCCATGACCCTGGGCTGAGGGGGCACGGGTTGTTGTCCTGTGCCCCCTGACGCAGCCCCCGGCACCTGGCAGATCTGGCACATAGAACTGACAAGTCCTTGGGTGACAAGCTGCAGGTGATGGACGAGCAGGGTGGAGTGTGGAGAGCCCAGTGTGGCAGGGAATAACGAGTGCGGTCCTCCACACAGCAGGTCCACAGTGCAAGGACGAACGGATGCCCAGCTCAGCCACTCACTGGGGTGACCCTCGTGCACTCGTGTGGTCTCTTGGCATCGGACCCCTCATCTGTGGGGTGTAAATAGGGCTGCCTACTCCACAGGAGGGCGAAGGACCACGGGGGCTGCTCCCAGGGCATCTGGTAACTGTACTGTGGTGGCCAGCTCAAGCAACAGAGAGGACCAGGAGGAGGACTGCGTTCCTATGAAGCTCCTGGTCAGGATCCAGATGACGGGGAGGGTCTATGGAAGGCAGACTCCGGTTCAGGATCAGAAAGGGTCACTAGACAGACTACACGCAATGAGAGAAGCCCCTGCCCAGGGGAGACGTCCAGCTCTCTAACCACTGAACAGCCTGCACACAGCCCCCTGGGAAGGTGGGCCTGGACCACTTCTGAGACACCTGCCTGGTGGCATCTGACACCACCCCACGCCCTCAGTGGCCCTTCAGAGTGCGCCTCCTGAGACGGCAGCTACACATCTTCTAGACCCAGACTTCCCGACCAGCATGAGGCCACCAAGGCCTGCTCCCCGAAAGTGCGCACAGGAGGTGTTTTCATCAGGCCCCGAGGCACGGGAAGGAGGGCTCCCCCCTTTCCATCCAAGACCTCTAACAAAGGAACTGCCTCTGGGAACCAACCTGGGCCTCGTAACAGCTCAGAAGACGAGGCTGCACCACTCTGTGGCTCTTCACTGCCGTGTCCCCGCCTCTGCCGGTGACAACTCAGACAGGCCTCCTGGCCCCACCCACCCCAACCTCGCTGGCCGACCTCGATGGCTGCCCGCTGGTCCTGTAAGGTCTGGCTTAACAGCTGCCATGTCACCTTGGAAGCCTAACCCCCTCCTGGAGGGTGGTGCCGTAATACCAAGAGCTGCGTGTGGCTGCTTTGTGGCCTCCCTGGGGCCCAGCCGGGTCTCACACACACAAGAACACAAAACTCACTACGTGCTTGATGGGCAGGTAGACTAGTGGACACTGAATGACGTCGCTTTGACCTGATTCTATGAATCTGGGGTTGCAATGACCCGCACACCTGTCCATGCAGGACGACAGGCCGGGGAGCCGCCTCACATGCACAACAGGGGTTGTGATGTAACTCAGCTGACCCACCCAAACTGCAAGCCTCTCTTACAGCCGCTGACCAAGGACCTGTCACTGCTGCACCAGAGCTGGACAGACGCCACAAACGCATATTCCCATGGGCCATCTTCCACGCTCACCACAGCGGGCTCCTCCTTCCTGGCTAAGTGGCTCCTGCTGTGACATGGACACAGTTTGAAGTTCTCCCTGAAGGGGTCACGTGCTGGAAGCTGGTCCCAGGGTGGCAGAGTTGAGGTGGTGGACCTTTAAGAGGCGGGGCCCAGGGGAGGGTCGTGGCTCCGCCTCCAGAGGGAGGAACCTGTTCTGTCTGCGCAGGACAGTCGGCAAGAACACGCCTTTCTCTAGGGAGCCTCTGCACATGCTCTGACCACTGGGATGCCATCTGCCATGAGGCCCTCGCCAGAGGCCAAACAGCTGCCTCGTCACCGACTTCCAGCCTCTAAATCCGCGAGCTGAACAAACCTCTTTGCCCCCCGGCTCGGGTGGCTCCTCCGGACGGCCGCTCATCACGGCGCAGGTCTCCTGTGCCTCAGCCGACTCGGCCCCTGGACGGCACAGCCTGCATCTGACGGGCCCAGACCTCTCCACTCCCTGACCTCTGCAGGACTCCCACACTCCTCCCCGCTGAACGTGGACACCCGGAAACCTTGCTCCAGCAGCAACTCTCCCCCTCCCAGGCGGAACCGCCTCCCCATGGGACTCACCTTTCCTTACTGGAAAAGTCGACTCCCAGCAAGATACTCTCCTCGGTGTCCTGGCGCCCGCTGCTGTACACCACCACCATGTAGCGCACACGGTCCGTCCAGGCGCTCTCCAGGCGCACGGCCTGTGTGGGCAGGGACGCGCTTGCTCGCTGACCTTTCCCAGAGGAGCACCTCCCTCCCCGGCCCGCCCAAGACCACAGCTAGAGCACCTCCCGCCCCCGGTGAAGGAAGAAGGAAGGGTGCCACTGTTGATGGCAGGAGCCAGGTCCTACTTGTCTCCTGAGCAGCAGGGACAGTCCTGGCTCAAGGGGGACACCCAGAATATGTGCAATGAGCACACGTCCAGGGGAAGAAGGTTCTAGGCAAGGCTGCCGGGAGCCCTGGTGTGGCCCTCTGCGGGCCCCTCTGGGGTTTGTTTTCCAGGTGGCGCTGGGGACTGAACCTAGGGCCCACACAGCCTCCACCCCTGAGCTGCACCCCAGCCCCCTTGGCTTTGGCTGTGGTCACAATGTGGGACACAGGGACCTGCGCTCTCCACCCTGCTTACCAGCTTGATCCTGTCCTCACAGCGCAGGAGGTTGATCATGACTTGCAGGTGCTGGGGCAGGTCACCTGTCAGGCCAACAAGGAAGTTTAGAAGGTCACCCACCTGCTTTCCAGGAAGAAACCTCGAAAGGCTGGTTTTAGGGGCCTGGAGAAAGATTTAGAAGTTAACTTTCTCCACCCACACGACAGGAGAAGCCTCCCAAGAGCTCTGTCCTGAGGGCTCCTCCTCTCCGCCTGATGCGCATGCATGTTAGAGTGACTGGCCCCTCACCATCCTGTTGCTAATGCTGCTCTATTTTCTGAACTGCTTGCAACATGGGTGCTTTTAATAGAAAAATTGGGAAATACAGACGAATCTAAAGAGAATGTATTTCTACCAGCAGTGGCGGGCAGGGTCATGCAGCAGGACAGCCAAACAGCCAAGTGCCATCATTCCTCTTCAAACTCTTCTGCATTTTCCATAACACTCAGATATTATTTCTCTACCAGGGGAAATGTCTACGCGGTTATCGGGAGCTGCTGTAAGTTGGGTGCTCAGGGAAATAACACGGAGACAACCATCTGCCATTTTCCCTTTTCTTGCTAAAAATTATCTTCTCTCTCTCTTTTATCTTTCTTACATGGGACGGACAGTGACCCAGGGGAAGGTCTGTTTTGGAGATGGGGTCGCACTGTGCTGTGCAGGGTGGTCTCAGCCATGCTCCTGTCTGGGGACTCCAGGGGCCAACACTCCGCCCTGACAGGGCAGGGTGCAGGAAGTGTCCACAGGTGGCAGGGACCCTGTAACTGAGGTGTGCCACGAGGACGGAGCAGGTGTGACTCTGCCGCTGCTTTCTTCAGAGCTTACAGGCTCCTGAAACCTCTCACGGGGCTCTTTCTTAAGAAAAGATTCATCTGCAAAGATGCTGATCTAGAAGAAGGTGCAAGGAATAGCTCGTAAAAGTCTGTATCAATTTCACGCCAAAGAAATTGAATTACCTCGAATTTTAAAAAGTGCTCTATAACTGAGCCACAGTACTTATAGAGCACCTGCCTCACACACACAAAAGCCCTGGGTTTGATTCCCATCACCAAAGAGAGGAAACCCTAACTATCTATCTATCTTTCTATCTATGTATCTATCTTTCTATCTATCTATCTATGGTACTGAGGAGTGAACTCAGAGGTGCTTTAGCCCTGAGCTAGATCCCCAGCCCTTTTAAATTTTTTATTTTGGGATAGGGTCTCACTAAGTTTTTTTTTTTTTGAATTTTAATATTTATTTATTTCTTAGTTTTCGGCGGACACAACATCTTTGTTTATATGTGGTGCTGAGGATCGAACCCGGGCCGCATGCACGCCAGGCAAGCGCGCTAACTGCTTGAGCCACATCCCCAGCCCATCTCACTAAGTTTTTGAGGCTGCCCTCAAACCTATGATTCTCCTGCCTCATTCTCCTGAGTCACAGGTGTATACCACCATACCCAGCTAAAAATCAAATATTTTATTATTTTTTAAATTTTTTTGTTCCGGTGATTGAACTCAGGGGCACTCGACCCCTGAGCCCCACCCACAGCCCTATTTTGTATTTTATTTAAAGACACAGTCTCACTGAGTTGCTGAGCACCTCACTTTTGCTGAGGCTGGCTTTGAACTGGCGATCCTTCTGCCTCAGCCTCCTGAGCCGCTGGGATGACAGGTGTGTGCCACCGTGCCCGGCAAACCACCTATCTTAAAGACTACCCCGAGAACCCCGGGAGAATGAACACTGTCTACAGACTCAAGCACTCCAGGAAAAAAAGTCACATTTCTTCCTTTAGCAAAAGCATCTTTTTACTTTAAGGCAGAAAGACAGATGATGTCTACACCGCACTTCCTGTCTCAGCAAGGAGTCAGGTTATCAGAAACCTGCCCCTCTAGTCAGGAGGGTGGTGCTCGTGTTAAGAGTTCTTTTCACAATAAATAACATTTTTAAAAAATTTGCCACTTTTATCTGTTCTCTCCAGTAACAGGATTCCACAGTGAAACAGCCCACGCGGGCACTCATTCCTGACCAAAAGGAGTGACTGCAGATAGTGGGTCCTATCAAGAGGACATGGAGCTCCCATCCCCTTCCTCCTCTGAAGCAGCACCCCCTGTCCTGCCTCCAACGCCAAGATACCACAGAGCCCCCTGCTGGCTCCTCACCTGCCCTCCCCCCAGTCACAGACGACAGAGGAAGGAAGCACAGCGCAACCCACGGGGGTGGGGTGTGGGACAGACAGACTCCTCAAGAGGGCTGCTTGCTGGGGCGCAGAGTGCTGACAGACAGGAATCCCAGTCGCGGGCCAACAGGCACACACAAAAGCCAGAGGCTGTCCGCCTGGAGACCAGCTCTGGACAGGGCCTCCAAGGCCTGGCCTGCTGGGACCCAGTGAATAGGGAGTGGCTTTCCAGTGGGGGGGATTAACCCTCAACTGTCCTCAGCTCTGCGTGGTGATGGCGAGGGAGGGCAGTTCATCCTGGGGGACTCGATACTAGGGAAAAAGGAACCAGTGTAAAGTCCAGTCTGGGCTCGTCTGGGGTCATCTGCTGAGAGTCCTCTTTGGCCTTCCTTAGCTCACTCTCTGTTCCAGACCTCCAGGGGACAGAGCCAACCAGCTGTCCTGGCCTCCCTGCCCTCGCGTGGTCAGGAGGTGCCTGCACCCGCTCTACAGGCAGCTCTCACACAGCACGGAGCGGCTGGTACTCGGTGAGCAAGGCCTGACCACCTCTTCTGTGTACGCGTCATAGTCAAGACAGAAACAGTGGCCACACTCCTAAAAGGGCAGGACAATTATCAGACTTAGGAATAATGGTTCTGTAGTTTAAATGTACGAGGAGTCCCTGTAGTGATTATAGCTGCACATACAAGTGTGTGTGTGTGTGTGTAAGTAGCCATAATTATATACATTTATATACACATACATATATAATTTTTTTCTTTTGGTACTAAGGATTGAACCCAAGGGAGCTTAACCACTGCACTATATGCCTCATCCCTTTTTTCATTTTGAGACAGGGTCTCACTAAGTTGCCCAGGCTGGCCTTAAACTGGGACTACAGGCGTGCCACTGTGCCCAGCTTAACCGTCTGTATTGTCTGTACTGTATGTTTATATACATCATCCCGGTAGAAGGCAGGTGTGTTAAATGCATATTCTCCGTTTCCATACTGTCTCAAGTATTTGATGTCCACTATAAAGATTAGAATACTGAGACTCACAGGTGGACTGTGACTGCCCAGGGAGCTGCAGGACTTGGTTCAGAAGCCAGGTCTGTCTGGCTCCAAAGCAAATATTCTTTCCACAAAGCACACTACCTTCTCGCACAGGACAATTATTTTTTTAGTTTAAAACAAAAGACCGACTGAAACATAGCATTTGCTAGAACTTCCAAGGTATGAAATTCTAACCTTAGATGTTCAGAGATGAAGCTGGACAGCCAGAAGTTAAGCAAACAAAATGGGGACAAGCGACAAGAAAAGGGCCCCGGCTGCCAGGCCCTTCCAGCTCACAGACACACCGTGCCAGGCCCAGAGCTCGGACTTGGTACCAAGACCCACTGTGCGTACAGAACACCCACTGTGCGCACAGGGCTTGTTGGTTTCTTTCCAGATTGCCTTTGGTTTCAGAGTCAAGTCACCTGTTAGTTCACAGGCGTTTCTTAGTAGTTTGCTTTTGGACCTATATTAACACTCAGTTGGATCCCTGCTCTATTATTTTTATCCATTTCCAAAACCAAACTGTCCATTATAGAAAAAAATATCCCACCACAGTGACTTCTCAGGGCAAGAGCCGAAGACTGTGTGTGTGTGTGTGTGAGAGTGAGAGAGTGAGAGAGAGAGAGAGAGAGAGAGAGAGAGATATGCTGGGATTGAACACAGACTCTCTACCACAGAGACACATCCCCAGCCCTTTTTATTTTTTATTTTGAGACAGGACCTCATTAAGTTGCCCAGGTTGGCCTCGAAGCTGCAATTCCTGCCTCAGTACCCAAAGAATCTTAAATTCCCCGAGTAAGAGTCTTCAAACGCTTCGAGAACTGACAGCATTTCCCAGACCAGCTACATGGCACCCAGATGCTTATTTTCAAGGGGCCATCTGGCTATACTGCACTTTGGCGCATTTGTTGGAAAGTCATACAGTATCTTAAAATCTGCAGGTACTTGATCCACTGTGCCCAGGAAATCTTACATCCCAACAGAGAGCTGCTGACCACCTGACTTCTCACATAGACAGACCCACGAGCCCCCTGTGCCATCCCAGAGCACCTGAGCCTCCACCTGCACCAGTCATTACAAACCTGTGCTCCACTACTGCTCTGGCCTTGATACCCAGCAAACTGCCCACCACCAACAACGGAAGGTTCCTCTGATGCTCAGAAAAAAGAGTCCCAATTCTTTCCTTTCTTTTTTCCTTTCTTTTTCTTCTTGGTACTGGGGACTGAACCCAAGGGCACTGTACCACTGAACTATACTCCCAGATCTTTATTATTTATTCGAGACAAGTTCTCACTAAGTTGATGAGGCTGGCCTCAAAACTTGTGATCCTCATGCCTTAACCTCCCGAGTCACTGGGATCACAGGCATGCGCCATTGTACCTGGTAAGAATTCCCAACTAAAGAGCGTCAACATAGAGCCATCACCTGCATGCTTGTGAGGATGCTGAAGACTCCGCTGGCCGTGAGGGCTGCTTCCTTGTTGTAAGAAGAGGGCTGCTCCCTTCACCATGAAAAAGCTCTCGCTCAAGCTAGGAAGAGTAAAACCAAGGCACAGTTAGAGGGAATTCAGAGGAAAGCCAAGACGTGCTGCAGGGAAGAAGCTCTGAGTGGACACAGTAGACAAAGTGCCAATGGCAGGGGACTGCGGTCACGACCCTTCCCCCAGTCCTCGTCCCTCGCTGCGCCTTTGCTCCAAGCTTGCTTTGGAGGAGTGTTCCTCATGACATAATGCTGCTGCTGAACACCCAGAGCTCTGGGTGGGCTCCGCCAGCACCAAAAGCCCCTTCCACAGGGCGCTGGGAAGGGGCTCCCTGCACTGCTTTCTAACACAGAGCAACGTGAGCAGGAGAGGCTGCTCCCCTCTGTGAGTTTCGCACTCCCACTGTTGATCTTTGCTTCCAACTCCCTGTTAACAACTTTCCTGCTTCCTGGTGCTTCCCCGGATGGGATTCAAGATCAAACTGAACTTGTACAGGCTGTTTGCATTTTAAGAAAAGTGGGTGACCTGTGACTTAGTTAAGGCTGCTCTGTCCACTACTCCTGTGGAGAGTCTCAAGCTGAGTCACTGAATCTTTGGCCTTTGTTATTTTTAAGTAGCAACAACATTAATATTCAATCTAGAACCTGGGCTGGGGATGCAGCTCAGTGGTAGGGCACCTGCCTAGCATGCAGGAGGCCCTGGGTTCAATCTCCAACACTGCAAAAAAAAAAAGTCACAATTAAAAAAATCTCACTTTCATGAGCTGTCTATCAAAAATATCTTCAGCCTGTGCAGAAATTAAGAGTTAAAAAAAGAGGAAAGCCCCAGCTATTAGTTGCTATCAATTATTAAAAAATACCATAAACTCTTTAAATCACCCATTAAACACACCCATGAATAATAGCAATTATATTATTATCGTTAACCCATAAATAATAATAGTCCTATTATTATTATTATTATTATTATTATTAAGCTGGGGATCAAACCCAGGGTCTTGCACATGCCAGGCAAACACTCTACCTCTGAACTACACTTCCAGGCCCCCAAATTATTTATCATGATTTTTTTTTTAATGGTGCTGGGATTGAATCCAGGGCCTTGTACCTTCAAGGCAAGCACTCTACCAACTGAGCCATATCCTCAGCCCCTACAGTGGTTTTTGAAGGATTGGACCATCTATGATTATCTTTTTTCTACTTACTATTTTCCAAATTTTTCAAACCAAACACACTTTAACTTTTATCCTCCCCCCTCCCTGTAATTGAGGATTGAACCCAGGGTTACTCTACCACTGAGCTACATCCCCAGCCCTTTTTATTTTTAAATTATTATTATTTTTTTTGAGGGAATTACTGGGAATTGAACCCAGGACCTTGCATATTCTGAGCAAGTGCTTTAGTGATGAGCAACACCCTCAGCCCTTTATAAATCTTATTTTGAGACAGGGTCTCACCAAGTTGCTGAGGCTGGCCTTGAACTTGCAATCCTCCTGCCTCCAGCCTCCCAAGTAACTGGGATTACAGGCCTGTGCCACCACACCCAGAACACATTAACTTTTTTAAAATGGCTGTTTTTTTCTTTTTAATTTTCAAAGTAATATAAAATATGAATGCTACTTTATAATAAAAATCATTTTTATTAATTTTGTGAAACATCACAGTTTAAATGATAAGGAATATAAAAATACAGCAATTCTTTCTTAAGCAACCAGAAAATGTCTTAAGAAAAAGCAGTTCTTAAAAAAAAAAAAAAAAAACCAACCCAGAACCTAGACTTAAGCAAATTAATCCCTGGCAGAAATACAAGGATATCTTCTGTGATATAAGGCAGTCAGCTCACTTTTGCTGCCCCAGACATCTAATGTTAGTGGTCAAACACTGTAATCCTGGAATAAAACAGAACAAAAACGAAACCCTGCGAAGCCTAACGGGCAATTCTGAGGGCTAAGAGCTGGCGTTCAAGTCGGCAGCTCCTGGGAAAACTCATCTTCTATGATGTCAAGTCCACAGTAAAATTCTTTAACTTTTCTGGCTCAGTTCTCATGCTAAAAATAGGGCCTGCGTGGCCATGAGGCAAGGTCCCCTGTCACACGGGCACTCCCCAGCCCCGTTTCCCACAGGCACCCTGCGCTTCTCCAGTGGCCCTCGTGGCATGTGCCACCCTGGCTCCGCTCTAGCTGGAGCCCAGGGCCAGCGAGCAGGAGAGCAGGAGAAGCACCTTTCTCTGCTCGCTCTCCTGGGAGAAGGCACATGCTTGGAGCACAGTGTGGCCAATGTGTCACCCAGGGTGTCTCGTTTTAGCTGCTTCCAGATCCCCTGACATTCTTCTACCCCTCAATCTTGTCATCCTCTCCTTTCCTCGAATTTTACAACAAAGTCTGTGTTCAGAACCGTTCTTTTTTAGACACGGATCACTTACTACTTATTCTCATCCAAATCCCAAAGCGCTGGGCCAGGGACTCCCAGCCCAGGGGAAATTAAAACAGCATCAGCACGGCCAGCAGCAGAGCTGGGACTCCTTCAGGGCATCATCCCTTGCTTGTACTGGAGTCTGCGAGGGTGGGGATGCACACTGACCAGCATGCTGCAGCCAGCCGACCACGGACAGTGACCTTAGCCTTGGGAGTCAAGGAGCCAGGGAACCGGGCCGAGGGGCCTGGGCTCTGGAAAGAGGAGTCTGAACCCTGCAGGGGAATCCAGAGAGCAGGGGACCGCGACTGTAAGGACCCCGTGTCCTGGGACACAGCAGAGGACCCCACACACGGTGACTCCCAGGGCTGGGGCAGGCAGGGTGGGTGGGCAGGCCCGGATCCGTGGGACCAAGATGCACAAGTCTTCCCGACCCAGCTTCTGCCCGGAGCTCACTGCAGCCTGTGCCTTCCACTGGGTGACAGCACTTCCCCCTACAGCCAGGGCTTGGTGCGGTTCTCTCTGCGGATGCCCTGAGGGCAGCGGATGCCCCAGCCATCGAGGCCCTAGACCGTAGGGAAGTGGACCTTAAGAGATCCACCTTGGCGAGGCCGGGCTGCAGATCAGGGGACAATGCCTGCAAGGTACTCAGGGAAGGAAGCCACAAACCAGCCGACCACTCATCCCAGCCACCAAAATACTGGCCTTCTCACAAAAAGTCTCAGTGCTCCCAAAAGACAGACTGAAGTTAAAGAAGGCCTGGGCCGCGCAGGAAACTCCTCCTGGGCTTTGAGAAAAATCTTGGTGAGGGATTAAAAACAAAGGCCCAGTGCCCCCTCTCCCTCCTCAGGGCTCAGGACTTTATCTCTGCAACACAAACACGTTTTGGGAAGAGTCCACAAGAACAGGCTTCTACAAAGCACGGAGACAGACAAGACCTTCAACCGATGCTCCTAGAACCCCAGTCCCAGGCACACCCAGCTCGGGCCCTCTGGGGAGCAGGCGGCGGGGAGAGGCCAGCGGGTCATACGTACTAATTCGGGCTGGAAGCCTCTGAACGGTAGAGGTACTGAGTTGGCCGAAGGAAGACGCAGAAATCAGACAAATAAAAAAGGTTCATGACTGCAGTCTTCACGTCCCCAGCGCCCCTTCCACCACGCGCCCAAGGAGCTCCTGCCATCGACTCCGCGTGCGGAACACAGGAAGGGCGACAAGAGGCTGGCTGGCAGGCTCGCATCCTCCTCAGACGCCGGTCCCACCCAGGAGTAAGTGGCTCTTGTAGCACTCTTGTCTCTCCCTGATATTTTGGCTTAAAAAGGCCCTTGTCCCAGCATCTCCTGATGAAAGAGGCCCATTCAGAGGAGCCAAGAGCCGAGTTCCTCTAATCGCTTCACTCCTACGGGCTCCCCTGCCTTGGGAACAAGCAGCAGGGTGTGCCCTGGAACTGGGAGGGGAACAGCTGGCCACCAGTAACTGCCCCCAGCAAGAGGACCCCCTCCTGGTTAATCGACACACTCAAGGGTATCAGTCTGGCCAATCATCATCCATCCGTGGGACAGGACAGGACACGGCAGCTGCCACAGGAAGGGACCCTATGTTTTCAAAAGCACTTTGACATTCTGAAAATGCTTCAGTGTGCTAACAGCCACTCTGGGCGGCTGGTGGCCCTTCCCAGGGAACATTCCAGGTAGAGGGGGCCACATGCACTTCTGTGGGCTCAGGGGCACAGTATCCAGGCAAGCCAGGCTGCAAAGCCAGGGGAGGCTCAGATCCCACAGGGCCAGGACACGACTCCAGAATCCAGGGGCAGGAGCCTCCAGGAGCTGGGTGTCTGCCTCTCCCTCACCTGTGCAGCGGGTGGGGATAAGGGTGACCACAGCCAGGGCAGAATGGCCTCCCGACCTCAGCCAGCCAGGCCTGCAGGGTTCTGGAAGGGAGCAGAGGCGTCCAGCTGGGAGACGGTGGAACACTTGGCCAAGGGGGACACTGAGTAGGACTTCTGGAAGCTTCCCCCAGCTCCCAAAGGGCAATCAGTCCACCCTAGAGGGTCGCGCCAGACACTACCATGTGCCAGGGAGCGCAGGTCTCCACAGGCAGGTGCCCCCCACGCCCACCTTCTTAACCCCCAGAATGCCTTTATTTCTCCTCCCAATCCAGCTGTGCTGCTGGTGTGGCCACACCTGCCCTGGTGGCTACGGGCCCCAGGGCAGTGGGTCACATGGCTGGGTAGGAGGCCGCCTTCTCCAGTCTGAATGCAGGAACATGAAGGAGTGACTTAGAGAAGTGGAACCCTAGGGAGTGAAACCTTGGCATCCGGTCCTTGCTGCCCAGGGGGCGGCTGGGGGAGGCCCTCATGGCAGGGCTGTGGGAAGAGGGACACCAGGGGGCGGCTGGGGGAGGCCCTCATGGCAGGACTGTGGGCGGAGGGACATGGTGCTCGGTGCCGCTCATTGGCCGTGAATGTGAGCAGCTCTCAGAGCAGCAGGGCCGCACTTCTCAGCGCCAGGACTGTGATTCTGGCAGTGACCTTGTGGCCAAGACTGCACGAGGCACTCACTGGGCCGTGTCACCCACTGCCCACAGCTCAGCACTGTGGCTGGGCAGCAGTGTGTGACGTTTCCCCAAATGAGGGGACCCA